AAATGACCATTTGCGGTGGCAGACAAGGCATTGAATTTCCCACTGCCCATCACATTAGTATCCAAAAAGAAATCAGCTGCTTTAATTGCTTTTTATGTTGGAATTGGTCATCTCATCTAAAATTCAAAATTCAAAATTATTTAAAATTTTGAATTTAAATATTGATGGTGGGAAAAAAAGTTCTTTTAAGAATTGACTTTTAATTTTTAAATCGAATAATTAAATGACCATTTGTGGTGGCAGACAAGGCATTGAATGTCCCACTGCCCGTCACATTAGTATCCAAAAAGAAATCAGCTGTTTTAATTTCTTTTTATGTTGGAATTGGTCATCTGATCTAAAATTCGAATTTGAAATGGTTTAAAATGTTGAATTTAAATATGGATGGTGGAAAAAAAAGTTTCTTTTAAAAATCGAATTTTAATTTTTAAATCGAATAATTAAATGACCATTTGTGGTAGTAGACAAGGCATTGAATGTCTCACTGCCCATCACATTGGTATCCAAAAAGAAATCAGCTTTTTTAATTGCTTTTTATGTTGGAATTGGTCATCTGATCTAAAATTCGAATTTGAAATGGTTTAAAATTTTGAAATTAAATAAGGATGGTGGGAAAAAATTTCTTTTAAAAATTGATTTTTAATTTTTAAATCGAATAATTAAATGACCATTTGTGGTAGTAGACAAGGCATTGAATGTCCCACTGCCCATCACATTGGTAACCAAAAAGAAATCAACTGTTTTAATTGCTTTTTATGTTGGAATTGGTCATCTGATCTAAAATTCAAAATTTGAAATGGTTTAAAATTTTGAATTTAAATATGGATGGTGGGAAAAAAAATTCTTTTAAAAATCGAATTTTAATTTTTAAATCGAATAATTAAATGACCATTTGTGGTAGTAGACAAGACATTGAATGTCTCACTGCCCATCACATTGGTAACCAAAAAGAAATCAGCTGTTTTAATTGCTTTTTATGTTGGAATTGGTCATCTGATCTAAAATTCAAAATTTGAAATGGTTTAAAATGTTGAATTTAAATATGGATGGTGGGAAAAGAATTACTTTTAAAAATCAAATTTTAATTTTTAAATCGAATAATTAAATGACCATTTTTAAATCGACTAGTGCATATTCGTGTATAAATAGGTACTTGAAACAACATATGTTTGTTTGCTGATCAGCTTCTTTGGGCACATTTGTAGCCTCTCTATTTCGTTCTTTTCTTTGTCCTCAAAGGCTTTGAGCCAATATTACCTCATATACGTTTGGTTATGTATTCCAAGTATGATTTTATTAAGGATATTAATCTCACTAAGGAGGAGTGAGAATTAAGGCTAGAGTTGTTAGAACAAGGAAGTTTCCTAATTTTCAGCAAAAAAATTTTGACGACAACATAGAGATGATTTTGTTAGATGAAAAGGTATTTGTTTTTGTTTTGTTTTTGATATTACTGTTGGTTTGCGGTCCATGTTTTTAAAATGTACTAATCTATGCATGCGTTTTGTAGGGTGGAAGGGTCCACGCTGCTGTCAAGGGTTCTTTGCATATCCGTAAAAAAAGTTACAAAGGAGAAGTTTATTTCATAAAAATTTTTGGAGTTGGTTTGAATAGTAGTAGTTTCAGGCCAACTAAGCTTGATTATCGTTTGTCTTTCAACTTGAAGACGGATGTAAAATCCACTATTGATTCTGCTGTTCCCACCAATGGATTTGATTTTGTAGATTTTGACGTTATAGAGAAAGAGTCTTCTGATTCCCCTTATTTAGTAGGTTTGTAGATTTTGACCTGTTCATGTTGTAAGTCATGCTTTTGTTGTTTGTGTGACGATATCATCTGTCTAACCATCCTTAATGTGTAGATGTCATTGGTTTAGTCTCTGGAATAGGGGAAGTTCGTGAGCATATTATCTCCGGTAGGAAGACAACAATGGTTGTCGTGGAGCTTGATAACCTCAGGTATCTATTGGTTATTTGTTATGTGTTATGTTCATTTGATGTAAAATTCTATTTCGTGATTTGTTGCAAAAACTAAAAGGAAAAATTAGAATAACAAATACAAAGTATACGACGAGGATTTTGTCTTTGTTGTTGCTGAGATAAATATTTCTCTTTAAATAAACACTTTTTTTCCTAGAAAACTCCAATTCAGATGCTACAAACTCTGACTACTCCATACTAATTACTAATTACAACCACAATGAAGTCACTGTCATTGTAATCATACACAAAGGTTAATTAACCGCCATCCACACAAAACACTTCAAACTTCCACGGCTATTATAACAGTCATAAATGTTTCAATTTTCCACGTTATCATAATATGCAGCTTTTCTACATCACTTTCATGTCAGATTCTAAGGCAAAGAGACAGAAACAAAGCCCCAACCAAAAAAAATAAAAATTCCTCGAACATCATCCTGGCATCTGCGTATTAAAATACCAAAAACCTCTTCTTTTTTTGGTACATAGATTAGTAAATCACAGTATTTTTTTTTTGAATGAAAGAGTTCTTGCAATGTGTGATTGCTCCTTGTATTGCATTATTCAACTATTCCACCTTTGAAGTGTCACCGGATAATATCCCTCCGGCGACTCTGCTTCCTGCTCCGGAAAATACTCCACCGGAAAGCATACCGGAGTGGCTCGGCGATGATCTCAACGATGAAGGACAGCTAGAAACGACGCTTTTCCTACGGAGAGGGTATCTCAAGTTTCCCGAGAAAGAATGAGAAACCACACTCTTTGTTTCTTTCCTCTCATTAATTTCCTTCGTGGATATCTCTGTTTTGGTGAACAGAGACGGTACTGTTCTCTGTTGTACTTGTTGCTTCTGTTTGAGTGACAGCTTCTCGAACAATGGCTTCACCTTCTTCGTATACTTCTTGATAACCTCTTTGACAGTGTTGCTCATGCCCTTCACCGAAGACCCATAAATGCTTTCTGGGTGGCTGGTTTTGGGGTTATGTTTGCGGAAAACAGAGGATAATCTTGAGAAGGAGAAGTGGTTGGTGGTGGTCTTCTTGTTGTGAAGGCGCTTGAAGTCGTCATCCTCTGTTACGGAGCTGGGACGAAAGGAGTTATTGCAGTCAGGGAATAGAGCGAGGTCGCTGGTGAAGGAAGATTGTGAATCGTTGGAGTCGCGAGCGGAGGAGGAGGTGGTGGTGGAGGTGGAGGAGGAGAGGAGGAGATTGCGGACCATGGAGATGCGGGGAGAGAGGTGGAGAGGGAGGAGCCGACCCTTGTAGAAGAGTTCATCGGCGGGGGTGAATGATTTGCGGGGTGAGATGGAGATGGTGAACTCGAAATCTGAGGAGGAAGATGATGACGATGAATGAGATGGTGATGGTGGAAGCGTGTAGGGAAAGAAGCAAAATCCTACACGCTTCCACCATCACCATCTCATTCATCGTCATCATCTTCCTCCTCAGATTTCGAGTTCACCATCTCCATCTCACCCCGCAAATCATTCACCCCCGCCGATGAACTCTTCTACAAGAGTCGGCTCCTCCCTCTCCACCTCTCTCCCCGCATCTCCATGGTCCGCAATCTCCTCCTCTCCTCCTCCACCTCCACCACCACCTCCTCCTCCGCTCGCGACTCCAACGATTCACAATCTTCCTTCACCAGCGACCTCGCTCTATTCCCTGACTGCAATAACTCCTTTCGTCCCAGCTCCGTAACAGAGGATGACGACTTCAAGCGCCTTCACAACAAGAAGACCACCACCAACCACTTCTCCTCAAGATTATCCTCTGTTTTCCGCAAACATAACCCCAAAACCCGCCACCCAGAAAGCGTTGATGGGTCTTCGGTGAAGGGCATGAGCAACACTGTCAAAGAGGTTATCAAGAAGTATACGAAGAAGGTGAAGCCATTGTTCGAGCAGCTGTCACTCAAACAGAAGCAACAAGTACAACAGAGAACAGTACCGTCTGTGTTCACCAAAACAGAGATATCCACGAAGGAAATTAATGAGAGGAAAGAAACAAAGAGTGTGGTTTCTCATTCTTTCTCGGGAAACTTGAGATACCCTCTCCGTAGGAAAAGCGTCGTTTCTAGCTGTCCTTCATCGTTGAGATCATCGCCGAGCCACTCCGGTATGCTTTCCGGTGGAGTATTTTCCGGAGCAGGAAGCAGAGTCGCCGGAGGGATATTATCCGGTGACACTTCGAAGGTGGAATAGTTGAATAATGCAATACAAGGAGCAATCACACATTGCAAGAACTCTTTCATTCAAAACAAAAATACTGTGATTTACTAATCTATGTACCAAAAAAAGAAGAGGTTTTTGGTATTTTAATACGCAGATGCCAGGATGATGTTCGAGGAATTTTTATTTTTTTTGGTTGGGGCTTTGTTTCTGTCTCTTTGCCTTAGAATCTGACATGAAAGTGATGTAGAAAAGCTGCATATTATGATAACGTGGAAAATTGAAACATTTATGATTGTTATAATAGCCGTCGAAGTTTGAAGTGTTTTGTGTGGATGGCGGTTAATTAACCTTTGTGTATGATTACAATGACGGTGACTTCATTGTGGTTGTAATTTGTAATTAGTATGGAGTAGTCAGAGTTTGTAGCATCTGAATTGGAGTTTTCTAGGAAAAAAAGTGTTTATTTAAAGAGAAATATTTATCTCAGCAACAACAAAGACAAAATCCTCGTCGTATACTTTGTATTTGTTATTCTAATTTTTCCTTTTAAATTTATTATTAATTTCAAAACCATAAGGAGGGAAATAAACTAATATGAAATCATAATCAAATATTTATGTGAACTCACACTGAAACCCTTTATTCTAGCAAGCTGAACTATCATCACGTTTTGAGGAGACTGATTACTCCCCAAAAATTATTGCACCTGGTCCACTTAGTCCTCCCAGAGAGTGCACTCGAGCTTGTGACCCCTACTTGCACAGTTTTTGCAACAAATCACGAAATAGAATTTTACATCAAATGAACATAACACATAACAAATAACCAATAGATACCTGAGGTTATCAAGCTCCACGACAACCATTGTTGTCTTCCCCGGAGATAATATGCTCACGAACTTCCCCTATTCCAGAGACTAAACCAATGACATCTACACATTAAGGATGGTTAGACAGATGATATCGTCACACAAACAACAAAAGCATGACTTACAGCATGAACAGGTCAAAATCTACAAACCTACTAAATAAGGGGAATCAGAAGACTCTTTCTCTATAACGTCAAAATCTACAAAATCAAATCCATTGGTGGGAACAGCAGAATCAATAGTGGATTTTACATTCGTCTTCAAGTTGAAAGACAAACGATAATCAAGCTTAGTTGGCCTGAAACTACTACTATTCAAACCAACTCCAAAAAAATTTATGAAATAAGCTTCTCCTTTGTAACTTTTTTTACGGATATGCAAAGAACCCTTGACAGCAGCGTGGACCCTTCCACCCTACAAAACGCATGCATAGATTAGTACATTTTAAAAACATGGACCGCAAACCAACAGTAATATCAAAAACAAAACAAAAACAAATACCTTTTCATCTAACAAAATCATCTCTACGTTGTCGTCAAAAATTTTTTGCTGAAAATTAGGAAACTTCCTTGTTCTAACAACTCTAGCCTTAATCCTCACTCCTCCTTAGTAAGATTAATGTCCTTAATAAAATCATACTTGGAATACATAACCAAACGTATATGAGGTAATATTGGCTCAAAGCCTTTGAGGACAAAGAAAAGAACGAAATAGAGAGGCTACAAATGTGCCCAAAGAAGCTGATCAGCAAACAAACATATGTTGTTCCAAATACCTATTTATACACGAATATGCACTATTCGATTTAAAAATGGTCATTTAATTATTCGATTTAAAAATTAAAATTCGATTTTAATTTTAGATCAGATGACAAATTCCAACATAAAAAGCAATTAAAAAAGCTGATTTCTTTTTGGATACCAATGTGATGGACAGGGGGACATTCAATGCCTTGTCTGCCACCACAAATGGTCATTTAATTATTCGATTTAAAAATTAAAATTCGATTTTCAAAAGTAATTCTTTTCCCACCATCCATATTGAAATTCAAAATTTTAAACCATTTCAAATTTCGAATTTTAGATCAGATGACCAATTCCAACATAAAAAGCAATTAAACCAGCTGATTTCTTTTTGGATACCAATGTGATGGGCAGTGGGACATTCAATGCCTTGTCTGCCACCACAAATGGTCATTTAATTATTCGATTTAAAAATTAAAATTTGATTTTTAAAAGTAATTTTTTTCCCACTATCCATATTTAAATTCAAAATTTTAAACCATTTCAAATTTCAAATTTTAGATCAGATGACTAATTCCAACATAAAAAGCAATTAAAACAGCTGATTTCTTTTTGGATACCAATATGATGGGCAATAGAACATTCAGTGCCTTGTCTGCCACCACAAATGGTCATTTAATTATTCGATTTAAAAATTAAAATTCGATTTTAGAAGAAAGTATTTTTCCCGCCATCCATATTTAAATTCAAAATTTTAAACCATTTCAAATTTCGAATTTTAGATCAGATGACCAATTCCAACATAAAAAGCAATTAAAACAGCTGATTTTTTTTTGGATACCAATGTGATTGGCAGTGGGACATTCAATGTCTTGTCTGCCACCACAAATGGTCATTTAATTATTCAATTTAAAATTTAAAATTCAATTTTTAAAAGAATTTTTTTTTCGAATTTACCCAATAAAGAAAGTTTGTATATGCAATGTAGTGTGAATACAATTTGTAGAATTGACCAGGAAGTGACACTTGGCAAAACTTTCCAACAATGAACTCTCCTTTTATATATATATATATATATAGATATACAACAAAAGAAAAGTAATGGGACATTAAATGAGTTGTCTGCCACACAAAATTTTCTAAAAGTTTTCCCATCATTACAAAGTTAAAAATTCAAATCCAAAATTCAAATTTAAACATAAATTCAAAATTTAGAAGAGTTGAAATCCAAAATTTGAAATCAATTCAGAATTCGAATTTCAAAAGAGTAAGCAATTCCAATGCAGAAAGCGTTTAAAAGAGCTGAGTAATTCCAATGTACAAATCAGTGGGACATTGAATGAGTTGTCTGCCACCATAAATGATTAACTTAATTTTTCATTAATTTTTTATTTCGATTTTTAAAAGAAATTATTATTTATTTAATTTTTTATTTCCAAATCCTTTCCCACCATTACCTCATATTATTATAAATTAATCGAAGTGACCAAAACTCAAACTAAAAAGTCTCAAAACTCTGTCCATGCAGTGTAGAGATGGGGATAACAAGAGGAGGGAAAGAAGCAAAATCCTACACGCTTCCACCATCACCATCTCATTCATCGTCATCATCTTCCTCCTCAGATTTCGAGTTCACCATCTCCATCTCACCCCGCAAATCATTCACCCCCGCCGATGAACTCTTCTACAAGGGCCAGCTCCTCCCTCTCCACCTCTCTCCCCGCATCTCCATGGTCCGCAATCTCCTCCTCTCCTCCTCTACCTCCACCACCACCTCCTCCGCCGCTCGCGACTCCACCGATTCACAATCTTCCTTCACCAGCGACCTCGCTCTATTCCCTGACTGCGATGACTCCTTTCGTCCCAGCTCCGTAACAGAGGATGACGACTTCAAGCACCTTCACAACAAGAAGACCACCACCAACCACTTCTCCTTCTCAAGATTCTCCTCTGTTTTCCGCAAACATAACCCCAAAACCCGCCACCCAGAAAGCGTTTCTGGGTCCTCGGTGAAGCGCATGAGCAACACTGTCAAAGAGGTTATCAGGAAGTATACGAAGAAGGTGAAGCCATTGTACGAGAAGCTGTCACTCAAACAGAAGCAACAAGTACAAGAGAGAACAGTGCCGTCTCTGTTCACCAAAACAGAGATATCCACGAAGGAAATTAATGAGAGGAAAGAAACAAAGAGTGTGGTTTCTCATTCTTTCTCGGGAAACTTGAGATACCCTCTCCGTAGGAAAAGCGTCGTTTCTAGCTGTCCTTCATCGATGAGATCATCGCCGAGCCACTCCGGTATGCTTTCCGGTGGAGTATTATCCGGTGACACTTCGACGGTGGAAGAGTTGAATAATGCAATACAAGGAGCAATCACACGTTGCAAGAACTCTTTCATTCAAAACAAAAATACGGTGATTTACTAATGTACCAAAAAAAGAAGAGGGTTTTTGGTTTTTTAATACGCAGATGCCAGGATGATGTTCGGGGAATTTTTATTTTTTTTGGTTGGGGCTTTGTTTCTGTCTCTTTGCCTTAGAATCTGACATGAAAGTGATGTAGAAAAGCTGCATATTATGATAACATGGAAAATTGAAACATTTATGAATGTTATAATAGCCGTCGAAGTTTGAAGTGTTTTGTGTAGGTGGTGGTTAATTAACCTTTGTGTATAATTACAATGACAGTGACTTCATTGTGGTGGTAATTTGTAATTAGTATGGAGTAGTCAGAGTTTGTAGCATCTGAATTGGAGTTTTCTGGAAAAAAAAAAGTGTTTATTTAAAGAGAAATAATTATCTCAGCAACAACAAAGACAAAATAATAGAGTTCATTATTTTATTTTATTTTTTAGAAATAAATAGTAGATCCCCTTATCTTATTTCTGTCGCATGATATTAGATAAATAGGTCCCTGGTTTAAAATTAACAAGTTTGTATTTGATTGATTCTGGAATCTGCAAGGGCAATATAGTAGTAGTACATGGGGGGTATTCCGATGTACGTAATATCAAAGGAAGTTTCTGTCTTGGGATAGGATAAGGTGGTGTTATATTATATTTAAATGTGTATTTGTCAGATAATAGGATACGTTTACAATTTTTTTTTACAAATTACACTAAGTACGGCCGGTCGTACACTGCCTGATTAAAGTATGACCGGTCATACTTAGTGTAGTTGGTAAAAGTTTATAAATAAAAAAATTTCTAAATATAATCTGTCATTTGCTAAGTGTTCAAAGAAACAGGTGAAGAAGTTATATGGATGTTACCTTGTCTAGCTTTATTGAATTTGAAATTGAATTAACCCATGTTGTTGTTCTCTTTTGTGCTGAGTTGAAATTACATCAAAACGGCCATTATTGTCACTAGACGACTCCAAATCAATGCTTCAGCATACCGAATTGTATCCCAGCCACCTAAACAATATCAGCTTATGTGATATATATATAGTTAACTTATGTTGTAATAATAATGATGACACAATCTATATAAATTGCATTATTTTACTTGTGTATATTGACTTGGGTATTTTTATTTATTTATTTTGTTAAGATAAATAACAATAAATAATATTCAAACTGAATTATAATTATATAATATGAAGTCGATATATAAGAGTTTAAAGAGATTTAAATTTGAGGATAATAAAATAAATAATAATAATAAATGTTTGAAAAATAAACAAGTTTTTTTTATCATAATTGAATATATAGTAAGAAGTGATCGACATTGTGTACCTGTTGATTTGATTAAGATAAAGTAATTATTTATATAATAGTATAGATGATACCATTTACCTGGTGTGTACAAAAATAAAAAGAGAACATTTATTTTTTTAGCATAGACAAAATTTTGTTGAACGGACTGCACAATACAGTGTGCAGTATTTTTATTTTATTTTATTTTTATAAAAAAAGTCAGGTAAAAACATATTTAGAATTCCGTGAGTGTATAAAGATTAAAAAAAAATGAAAGACATTGGAAGGCATCTTATGAAAGTGATCATACGAAATAAGTTACACAAACTTTTTAAGTAGTCACCCTTTGCTGAAGGGTTCCAGCAACAATTAAAGGGATAACCTGAAGGTCATGAACAAGGGATTCTGGTGTAATGCCACGAGGTAGACAAGTTTCAGTTGCTTGTGTTAAACTTTTGACTCTGGAAAGTGACAAGGATTTAACATAACAGATTCTAAGAATGTCACAACAATTTCCGAGTTTTCCTCCAAAGTGACGCGTGAACAATCCGACAAACCTACGGTGTGATGAAGAATAGAGGAGTTAGGAGAAGCTTCGCTCGAAAATTATCCTCATTCAAAAAAGTTTCCATCTATTGATAATTTATAATGGATCTATGGTCAGAGGAGAGGTCATTAACAATGGAGATAGCATGAGTAGCAAGAGAGTGATGACTGATGTGTATAGAATTAGAATTTAGAAGGTGTGTAAGTAAGATAATCCCTCATATTTACAAGAGAGAATTATCTCGCTAATTAAACAGAATTATTAGCGAAGTGAGTTTAAGTGGAGGGATCCCGCATAGGAACGATTCCGCATAATAATACGTCTCGCTCTTTATACTAACGACATAAGCAATGGATTAGGGGCAATTGATTCGCATATATCTCATTCGGGATATAAGGTCTAATTCATGAATGACTTAAAAAGCTCAACACTTAAGATTTAAAGGCTTAAAGAAACACGTTCATCTTGCATTAATGTCATCCCGCACACATACAGCCATACGACAACAATTTAAAACTCTAGCTAGCCATCCTAAC